ATATATATTATATATTTATATCGCATATTCTTTTTGTGCCCAAGGGTACAGATTGTATATTTCTTGTTAAAATGTTTAAAAAAAAAGTTTACAAAATAGTAAAAATTAAAGTTAAGTAAAAATAACTGTCCATAGTTAAATTATTTTAAACCATTAAAACCATTGAAATACATTTTGAAATTTATAAATTTTAAATAACATCCGTCAAAAACGTATTTTCAAGGAATTTTTAGATAAGTGCAATGCCCCCACTATGCTAAAAAAATATTTTATCGTCTTATTTAATTTCGTTACTATTTTTATTGTAATTTAATTCATCTAATTTAGAACTTATACATATTATATATGTATGAAATTAAAATGTGAGCTATATAATTATTACTTAATATTTTTCTGTTTCCGTATATCGATAGATAAAAATCTAAATTTCAGAACATTAACATTTTCACAAGTATTTCGTACATTATATTATTTAGCCTGATTTCACCCAACAGGCTCATACAGATTTTTTTCCCTTAAGTATTAAACTTTCAACCTAAGATATACTTTTATTTTTGAAATTGTTTTAAGTTTATTAAATTATCAATTATTAAATAATTTAGACTTTTATCCCTTTTTTTATATATTTTTTAATAATAATAATTTAGTTTATTCGATATTTTGACAATTTTATTTTGTACATCAACCAATCATAAATTAAACTTTTTATAATTGTTTCACATTATTATACCTCGATATCCATAATTTATTAATATTTTAAGCTATAAAATAGTCATTATCTAATTAATGAATGTGATAATTCAGACGACTTTTTAAACATAGACACAATGGCATCATTATCGTTTTGAAGTATGCGTGTTTAGTTTTTAGTGAAAGCGTAACTGTTAACAAGATTTATTGAAAAAATTCGCTGAATTAAAACAAAAAATAGTGATGACCTTCACAATTTATTTCATTTTAATATTATAAATTAATATTGAAGCTGATGTCTAACGACCATATTTACCGTGCTTATGATCAGTAAAAAAAAGTAATACATTGTATTGTTTAAATTGTATTAAAATTTATATTCTTCTTGACTTTTAAGTTAATAATTAGGTACCTACCTACATATCTACTCAGGTAATATATCGTAGTATTATACTAACATTAACTTCTAAGTAAATTTAAATATCACTTTCTAATTTATATAAAAAGAATGATTTTTGTTTACTTATGATAATCTAATTTGATTATACATATACTAACAGAACTGAATTTGATTTGCTATCTAATATAAGAATAATTTATTCAAACAAATTTTCTATTTTAAAGTATTATACCTATACCTTGTATAAAACTCAAAGAAAATATTGCACTTTTTAATATCTAACTATTCAGTGTAGGGTGCCTATATGGAGAATGTCTGGAACTTATATTTTACAAATAAAAACTACAAAATAAATGTTTTATCAAAATTTAAATCTGAAAAGTGAACAGTAATTCTTTTTAATATTAATCTACAATTAAGTAAATACATTCTCATCAATCGWTATASAAATAACTAAAAATGTATATTTACATGGTTGCATATTTACATGATTTTGAGTAAATAATTATTTATATTAGTTATAATTTATAGATATTAAAATAAGGGGTGGTACATTTGAATCCCGCATATATAGGTAGRTACTAGGTAGTAGGTATACAAAGTATTATGTAGTTATATTTTGTTATAGAACAGGACCTATTTATACAAGCAATGGTGAATACCAATGAAATTGATTTCCATCATTTCGAATTTTGTATGTTCGAATGTCAAGTGTGTCATCCGAAAGTATAATTTTCACGACCTGTTATAAGATTATAATACATAATTTATAATTACACATACTTTCATCGCGTCATGCTAAACATTATAATTATGGATAATATTAATACTATCGTAAAAATATACAGTCAATAGATGTCGAAAATAAAATAAATTTAACACTAGTCCTTGAATTACGGTCGTCAGCTTCTTTAATATAGGTACTAGGTAGTAGGTACTCATTCCGTTACCGCTGTTGATCGGAGATGAAACGGAATTAGAAGACGCACYATAAGAGAAACAAGATATCTAAACGCACTTTTATTTGTATTTTTATACTTGCTTAYATCTTCATTCTTTATATATAAGGACATACATTGAAGTAAGGGAAAAATCAAAGGATTAGATCTATTAGTTTTACAAAGTTATTTTTTTTTTTGATTTTTTTAATTTGTTGTCTGTAGACACTTTTTCTGATAGCACCTAAACTTCTTCTAAGTCGCATTCAGTCACTTTATAAAGATTAGAAACTTAAAAATTATCCCTTTGACAAATATTCAAGTGCAGCATTTAAAACATTAAACTTAATATATCCACAGTACAATGTTAGTTTTATATCTTTTCATAATAAATATGTTTCATAATCTATGTATGCTTAATATGTTATTCAACAAAATATTATTTTATTTAAACTATTTTGCATGGGGCCCCGTAATATGTAGCGCCARCCCTGCTTCAAAAGTTCTTTTGTATATTATGTGGATAAAACGAGTGACTTGTTAAAATTCTGTTACCCGTTTTCTGATTGTAGATGACCATAATCGTCGGAAACGCAAAATCCACTGCGGATGTCACGTCTGTTAATCATCACACGTTAGTTGATCTTCGTGGCCAATAAATAAATATTCATCCCAACGTTAATTATATGTTATAGGCTCAAGCTCGTATAGACACCATTTGGGTTAAACGTATGGGGGATCGAGATGTATATTGGCTAGACAATTATTTTTGATGAACGTCTGAAGTTAGAATTTTGTCGAAAACCTTAAAATAACCAACATTTAGAAATTATTTTGAGTTGGAAATTCATAGAAAATTTTCTAAGATCTAAGATATATAAAAAAATGTCATAGATGATTCATCATAAGTTTTCCTACACATAACAAAAATAAATATTTTACGGAAAATTAAGTAAAATTAAATTTTTTCGAGCGTTTTAAGTTCAAATGTTTACGACATTCGATTTTTCAATGAAAKATTTGCTTATAATTCAAAAAYGAATAACCTGCATAGGTACTTGCAATTTTCAACAAATGCTTATACTATAGCATTATTTATACGCACTATAATTTTCAAAAGATTTTGAGCTGTTTATAAACATTTTTTATTTTCAATTTTTCGTAGTTTTTTTTCTATAAATATCATTAAAAMAATTGTTATTAGATTTAAGATTTGAAAATTTAGTATARATGCTTTATACATTTTTATAATAGTAGTTCGAAAATATTAARGTATAGCCACATATACGCATGATTTTTTTTTTAGATAAGCATTTTAAGTTAAAATTATATTCTATGGCACAAGAATTTGGTAATTATTACATACACAACCTGACATACACTGAAGATTTGCAGCGATGGTTTATAGAAAATATTTGAATCTACAAACATTTACTTTCAGCCGAGAACTTTATTAGAACTTTACAAATAAAAATCAATCTTTCTGAAGCCACGCTTGATATTATAAAATAACATAATATTAAAATTATAGCTTATAATGTATCTRTTATATAACCTATAACATACATATTACGTAAAATTGGTATAAAAAGTATTTAATTACAAACGATTATTGATACACGACGACTGGGCGTCGTAAGCTGGAAAACTTATAATATAAAATATAAATAATAATAATAATAATAATAATAATATTGTGCAGCGTATGAAAACGCAATCAATGGTGGATAGCGTAGCTGCTGCTGTAACCGAAACCATGGTCGTGGCCGAAGTCGTAGGTACCGTATCCATGCCCGTGATGTTCTTTGACGTAGACGGGCACGTGTTGTTGCACGTACACTGGGTAGGGCACATGGTGAGCGACAGGCACCTTAACAGGCACCTTGACCGGGTACGGAACTGGGCGGTCAACGTGCACAGGGACGTGCTTCTCGATGTGCACGGGATACGGCACTGGTTTCTCAACGGCCACTGGGTACGGCACATGTTTCTCGACCGGAACGATGACCGGTCGGTCAACGATGACCGGCACCTCTTTGGTGACGTGCACAGAACTTATGTGCCCRTAGCTGTGGTCGGCGCCTAGCAGACCGTAGTTGGAAAGACCGTCCCACTCACTGTGTCCACCATACCCATAGCCCAAGCCCCAGAGACCTCGTTTGCCCTGCTTCTTTTCCGCGGGCTTCTCATCGGCGGCGGGGGCGGTGGCCTTCACGGTGTCGGCACACACTAAGGCCGYGCCAACGCTCACCAACAACAACATCGACATCTGTGATAGTAATCAACACAAACAATCCATCACAACATTTTTCACGGATTTAAACAAGATTATCAAATATTAATATAATGCATGGTTATATATTATTACGCGGCTTTCCAGTATAAAATACTAACACTTAACATCACTGCWTATAAAGGTTCATATCCTCCCCCTCCACCTYACCAATATTCAAACTACATGATAAAATTAAATTTTTTAAGTTAAAAGTGAAGGATGCGATGAAATTCGATCAAAAAAAAGACGAGGAAGTGGGTACCACATGTTGTGGTAYAACATAAGAGTCTGGAGAGGGYCTATTTAATGCATGTATTAAATTTGAATTMAATGATATRAAATTACTATACACGAAAAACGAAATATTATGTAGGTACTATACTATACTGAGTATACTTTTAGATATTGTTACGTTCAAATAATTTATTTTCCTATTACACATTARTAATACAGAAGATTTATTTAAGTTTTTCCAAAACAAAAAAATCACATGTGAAAATGTCATTGCGTGCATACAATATAATTATTTACCTTAAAAATTTCAAGTATC